CCCCAACCGAAAATGCTGTGGGCGCCCTGGAAGTGCACGAGAAGCCTGGCAGTACCTGGCTGAACGGGAGGAGGACGAGTGCCCGGTGACGGAGGGGTCAGTGCAGGGTGATGTGCCCAGGCCGAGGGTGCCTGTCCCACCGGAGCTGCTGAGACACCCGGGAGCAGCGCCCACCTCACCGCTGACACTGCTGAATTAGGGGGGCTGACCTCGAGGTGTCCCTAGGGACGGTCCTGTGCGCCGGGCAGTGTGGATGAGAGCTGGGCTTTCGGGTTCCCCTCCAGAGACGGTGCCTGTGAGAGGGCAGTTCTCCAGGGAGGCCGGGAGGGCAGAGCCGAAAACCAGAGAACTAAGTCTCTGTGCTGGCAGCAAATGCCAGGGCAACCTGCAAAGCCCTCGAAGCCTGTCCCCACATGTTTGCAAGCTCTCTAAGTTGTAAATAGCTTATTCTTTTCACACTCCTAATTTAACCTTACACACTGCATTCTCTTCTAAGGGCAGTAAATCGTTCGGTTGCAACAGGCGATGCAGATTGTGTGCCGAGGCACTTAATTGCTCTAATAAATCATGGGCTGAAGGAACGCACAGGAGCTGGCGTGCTCCACCTGCTTTAATTTGCTGTTTTCGAAGGCTTTAAAAGGCTCCTTGTAAATATAAACCTTCATGATCTGAGTGCGGCGATGGCATGTTTGTCCTTATTTAAGGCAGGATGGGAACCGGAGGTGATGCAGTGATGGAGATTACCAGAAGGTGGTATTGTGGCTTCTGCTTTGGCCAGGGAGAGGAGATGGGAAGAGTGGAAAATCTTGGCCTCATCCCAGCCGCTGTCGCCTGATGGACCCTGGGCACAGACCTCTCTGCTCTCGTGTCCTCTGTTACTACTGTGACTGGTCCCACACTGGTCCGACCCTTCTTAGGGTGGCTATTTCTTGGCAGTATCCCTTGCCCTTTCCTCTAATGAGTGACAGGTTAATTATTATCAGGCTGAACGATCATTCTGGTCCTCCCTTTCACAAACTGTGGGAGAGTTTGTGAAACTCCCTGCTGAGCCCCTACGTGGTGCTTGAGCTGCAGTGGCCGGAGTCACCAAAGGGACCTCCAGGAGATCAGCTGGGAGCACTGGTGGCACCCCCGGGCAGGCTGCTGGAAGGTGCTCAAGAGCTTTCTGAGGTTTTCTGAATTTCCCTGCAGCCAGGAGCCAGTTACTTTCCCGATACATACTGTCTTCTCCACACTTCCCTCGCTGTTGTATGAGCAGGTGTTTTGCGGAGGGAGGTTTTGGGTGAAGTTGCAGTCCGATTTGGGAGAGAAGCGGTTTCTTTCGCTGGCCACAGGACCGACATGTTCCAGAGCAGCCACATATCACAACCAGGCAGGGAAATGTCACTTGCTTTCTCAAGGAACATCTTATAAAATGAAAAAAAGATCAGTGTGTTTAACCTTTCCTCCTGCAGGCTCTGAAGGAAAAGGAAATAAAAGAAATTAGAGGAATCCATCCAATTTTCAGTTGTCCTTTATCAGCTAATAGGAAAAAATAAAGGAAGACAGATGGTCCTAGGTGGTGGCATGAGAGGTGGGGGCACGGAAAGCTTTCCCGGCTCTGCCAGAGGCCCTGTACAAGTGCCTGGAAAAGGTACTTGATCTGACTCTGTCTCGGTGCCTCATCTCTAGGACATGGCTAATCATGTTGCTGTGTTTCAAAGGCACGTTGTGCAGAAATATTCATTAGTGCCTCCGAGGTGCTCAGTTGCTATGGAGATGGGGATCTTGATAAATGCAGAGACCCACGGAGCCTCAGCGGAGATTCAGAGCTGCTGGGAGTTCCTCTGCACCAAACCACACTGTACCACACCATGCTGCACCGTGCTCTCCTGACTGGCACAGCTTCAACCTTGCGGTGGATGGAGCCTGCTGCGGAGCAGGGTCCCACATGCATCCCGAGTCCCAGTTGCTGCTGGCCCATGAAGGAGCAGCCAGTGCAGACATATCCAGATCTCCTCTTATTCTGGGGTGAAAACACTAGATTTTCTTTCAGTGTTTTCTTCCTTACGGCACTGAGAATTCTGTGGAATATGGTGCAGTCAGAGCTATGCCAATACCCCTGTTTAAAAAGAGATGTGTGACAGCCAAGATAAATTGCAGTAAGACCATCCACTGTAAACCACAATGAGTTTAGTGTGATCCCTGCTTCTCTCCTAGCTTTTCTGCTAATGAAGGAATATTTCTCTGCAAAACTCTGATTCTGTGTTACCTCTGCAGCTCAGTGGAGGAGAGCCCGGCAGACGTGGACTCCCAAATCGGGGAAGGATGTGTGATACCTCAGGTAGAAACTCGGAGCCTCCCAGGTCGCGTTTACAGCTTCTTAGGGAACTCATCGTCTGGTGCGTCTCATCACAGGAGTCAAGATTCTGGAAAAACAAAATAGAGACCTTATCAAGGTGTCAATAGTGGTTTTATTCTGTTGAAAACCAATTTACAACACAGGAAAGAGTCATAAAGGAAAGGCAGACAGACAGACAGACAATTCTAGGTTTTTTCATCAGTGGAAAGGTTCTTTCTCTCTTTTAGCATTGCAGATTGTCCCTGGGGCTGTCCACATACCCTGTCCCTGGAGCCAGGGATGACACACCCGAGAAAGCTTGGGTCTTTCCTGGAAGAGGGAGACACATAGCTATGATTTCTCACTATGGTTTTTTTTATGCCCTCTCCAGTTGGGAACTGAGCTTCCAGTTTGTCACTGACGTCGTACAAGCACTTGCCGTTTGCTCCTGGTGACCGAGCACAGCAACACCGCGTAGAAATACCAGGCATTTGGTCCTTTCTTCTATCTCCAGACTCTGTTAACTCAAATTTCTCTTCCAGAAGATGCAGTGTTAAAATATTTTGACCTGTGTGTCCTGAAAAGCAACCAGACAGCACGTTAGAGAGGTCCAGGACTGTAGTAACGTGGGACAAACAAGACACTCATTTGGCTTCTGCGCGTGAAGAAGGCACCAAATGGACACCAATACGTTAAATTCACCCTGGTTCCTGTTGCCTTCAGTACCGTTGCAGCCATGGCAGTTTTGAGGTGAGGGAAGGAGAAGAAGGTGAAGAGGATGGCCGTGACCCTCCTAGTCCTTGGTGCAAGTGGGCACCAAGATGAGGGTTGTGATATCAGGGAGATAGAAGTTTCGGGGTGAAGTGGGATGGATTTCAATATGGCAATGTTTAAGGTTATGCACTTGGAAATCAAAACCGACGATTTCTTCTACAATCTGGAAAAAATCTCAGTTGTGCTGGTGAATCATAGGAAGGCTATGAGCAGGAGCTGGGCGCTGTGATGCTGGAGATAACTGAAATCCTGGAACGCAACAAGAATGTGCATTTCCCGTCAAGATGGGGAATGTCTGGTTTGTGACACAGGGCATCAGGAGACTCACCTGGAGCACCCTGTGCCTGTGTTCGGGATGGGATCAGAGCCAGGGAGATGGGCAGAGAAGGTAATTAGTCTGATGAGGAAAATCTTACGAGAGCTTATTTTACAGAAGACAACCAAAGGGCTGCTCGTTTGGACCAGCAAAGAGAGAGGCCTGAGAGCAGGCAGTAAATATTGGGAGGATGATAAAGGATGGGAAAAAAAAAGGATGAAGTTGACAGCGTAATGAATGGGTACAAAATGCTGTGCATGGGGTAAAGCTGCCTTGAAACTTGGAGAACAGAACCTAGCTGCCTCTGTCCCTCTGGGAGAATGTGCAGGTGCCAGTAAGCTTCTTTATGGATTAGGTTGATGGAAAGTAGGTGCCTCCAACCAAAGCCCAGGCTTAGGGCACCGCCTGAGCCAGAAGCAGGAAAGACTCAGGAATTTAGTCGGTGCAGGAGGAGGGATGTCTCCGGGGCTTGGTGAGGGGAAATGGGAGCGTTACGATGAAAAGCAACTGCAGAAACACCCCTGCAGAGGACAGGGAATCAGCAGAAGCTCTGATAAAACGACCCAGGGACGGTGCTGGGCTCAGACTTTGCAGAATGAGGAGCAGGCACCGGGCTGGGCTGGCACTTGCTGCCTGCTTGCTCCCCGCTTCAAAGGCGCTGGGCTTTGCCCATCCTTCGTAAAGCAACCAGTCTGCACCCGCGACATAACCACCCAGCACCTCTTTCCCGAAGGGCCGTGCGCTTTGGCTGACCACACAGATCCTGGAGAGTGGAGGGATAAAGATGAAAACTTTCTCTGGGGTGGGGGCTTTATTGCCGATTTCAGCCAAGAGCCGTCACTGTCGCAGCAGAAACTCTCCCCTCCTGTAACGGAGGAGACAGCCCATATCTTTGGAGCCACGCCGACCTCTTTACTAGCCCTCCAGCACCCATGGGCACATGCTGGGGATACCACACAGATCCTGGAGAGTGGAGGGATAAAGATGAAAACTTTCTCTGGGGTGGGGGCTTTATTGCCGATTTCAGCCAAGAGCCGTCACTGTCGCAGCAGAAACTCTCCCCTCCTGTAACGGAGGAGACAGCCCATATCTTTGGAGCCACGCCGACCTCTTTACTAGCCCTCCAGCACCCATGGGCACATGCTGGGGATCTACCTCCCCCACCCCCCAGATCCCCAGCCTGCCAGCTTGTGCATTTTTGCGTGTTTTCTCACTAGGTTGGCCCATTGCCTTTAAAAGGCTAAATGTTCCGGACTAAATTTGGTCATGCAGCTCTGCATGGTTCCCTGGAATGTCCTCGGGTTTCAAACTCCTCTGATAGCACCATTCCCCGCCTCCCGCTGGGCTCCATTGGCTTCCCAGCACCCGAATCGCGGCTGGATCCTGTTATTGGCCGACTCTTGGACCGAGGGGTGTCCCCTCTTTATAACCACTATATCCCGGGCTCCGGCAATCGAGAGCTGCTGAGATTTAACACTTCGGCACCTGCTGCCGCTGCGGGAAGCAGTGTCGGAGCTTCGGCTTCTTTTATTTTTTCTCCTTCCTTGGGTACCACACACAACCGCAACCGTGTCTCGCCAGCGAGCCAAGATGTCCAAAGTGGCCAAATATCGGCGACAAGTTAGTGAAGATCCAGATATTGACAGTTTGTTGTCTACTCTGTCTCCAGAGGAGATGGAAGAGCTGGAAAAGGAGCTGGATGTTGTGGATCCAGATGGAAGCATCCCTCTGGAGCTTGGTCAGAAAAACCAAACAGAGAAATCCCCACCTGGCCCGCAAAACTGCGACGCGATGTTCAATCACTGCGAAAAGGAGACCAGGAAACTTATTCAGAGGGAACACTCGATAGACGTAAGTCACATCTCCCCACACTTGAGCTGTTTCCGTGAGAAATGCAGGAGCATGCCTGTGAACTCCGCCGGGCTGTTTTAGGGGACGAGATGAAAAACGCAAAGCCCGAGAAAGGCGTGCTGTGTTTGCTACAGAGGAATAGCTGTTGTGTAGAGACCGGAGCAGCGAGGCAGGGAGCTGGTCCAGGCACTTTGGGAGGGAACAGGGTATTTCATGAAATCCCGGTGTTACTCGCAAAGCCAAAACCTGTGCTGGTGCCAGGGATTTTCTCTCTGCCTCTGCTCTGACATCCTTTGGCAGGGCTGGGAGCAGAGACGGTGCTCCCAGAAAGGGCCTGGAGGGGCCGGTGCAGTGACGGCGATCCCATGGGCTGCATTTCTTTTTACTCCAATTTTTTTTCCCTTTGGAGATCTCCGGACTCTTGGTCCTTTCAGTTCTTCTTGTGCAAAAGCTTAAACAGTCTCTGGTTCTTGTGGAATAAAAAAAGCTTGCTGCTTTGTGGAAATCACCCCGAGAAGCAGGTTTTACCCCAAACCGTTTGTTTCGTGTTTATTATTCAGTTAAAAATTCATTCTTTTGTTTTGATTTGGGTACATTTATCTCCTTCTCTGCGCCTGGCAAATCCTTTAATAGCTTGCTTTCAGCTAGAAAGCTTCGTGCCAGTCCCTCTCCTCTTTTTGTGCCTTGCCTTAGCGGGAGCCCCGTCCCACTTCTCTGTAACATTTATTAACCTCTGCACTAAGAATATTTGGTATGTGCTTTGTGCGTGGGAGGCTGGGAAGCATTTGGTTTCCCTAGTTTTTCACGGGAGGCTGAGCCAGAAAGTGAAAGAAGGAGACTCTTCAGCTATTTATCTGTGTAGTCACGGGCAGATTTCACATTCCAGGCTGGATTCGCATCTGCTGTGACGGGACAGGGTTGAGGAGTTTCGGCAGCGTAAGCAGAGCAGAGGCTTATGTGGATACCCCTTTTAAGAGAGCGCTCTGGCTCCGATTCCTTGTCTATCCCAGGTCACCCAGCGGTACCCTGGGTCTCCCAGCTGAGTAATCGAGCTCTAACTGGCCTGTGAGCACTTGGAAATAGCTCTTTATATGGATGTGTATGGAGTTTATTATAGGAGGGTCCTCTCCTGACCTGGGAGAAAACAAGGGAAAAAAGATGGAAATTGCAGCTAAAAGAGAAATAAATGAAGGTTTATTTTGGAGACGTGAACAAGGGGTTAAATAGTTCCCCCCACCCCTCTCCAAGCCGGGGAGCTTTCCTCTGGCTGTGAGGACAAGGCACTCGAAGCTTTCTCCTTCTATATGTGGTCTTTGGCGTAGGCTGGAGGACAGAAAGCGCCGTGCCCCTCGCCACGAGAGCGCTGGGTTTATTTTCCCACTGATGTGCTGTCACATGGTGGGGAAATGCGTGCGCTGCGGGACAAACCTGCCTGGAAAGAGAAATGCTGTTTTGTGGGACCAGTTATCCCAGTGACGCCGCAGGGGTTTGCACTGGTTTGAAGGTGATCCCAGCTTGCAGCCGGCACTGAGAGCTGACACTGAAAAAGCTGCTTTTTCAGATGGGGGGGACTCTTGCGTTCAGCATCACTAGTGATGCTATTTTGGTTTTAACCATGGGAAGATGAGGAGTTGACTGGGAATTGGAATAGGGAAGTGTCCGTGATCAGGAGGAAGGGAGGAAATTTGTGTTTATTGGAAAAAGAGATCTGGGAAATTGTCTGGTTAAACACTACGTTATTTGGAGGATGCCTGAGAGTGTGTGTGTGTGTCTGTGTGCTGCGGGAGGGGACTGGGGATGGTGGCAAGGGATGGCAGGGGGAGGAGAGGCACCCCAGGAGAGGGTGTACAGCTCCGGGGCTGGCGGGGAGGGCGGCGACGGAGGTCCTGAGAAAAGTGCTCGATGTGCTCTCCTTTGAACTTCAGTAGTTTTGGGCCATGGAAGACAAAGCAAGTTGGCTGCCGGTCAAATTTGTCAGTGAAACCGGCCCAGTTAGATTGCGTTGCAGTAACTGGATATGGCAGAACTGACTTTCTTCTTCTATTTCAATCCCTGAAGGCCAAGAAAAAAATATCCTCCACCCTTTCCTCCTTGGCATTGTTAGGACCTGGGATTAGCACCTAGAAATTGCCAGCTCGCCGCGCTGGCAGGTCAGGCCATGCTGGTGGTGGAGCAGGGTCTTTGCTCCACCATGGGGCACGAGGGCGGGATGGGATGGGATGGGATGGGGTGGCATGGGGTGGGATGGGATCATCAGACCACAGAAGCAATCACAGAAACCATCCCAGGAAGCCGATGGTTCCCTCCATCCGAGGAAGCCACAGGGCTGTGTTTCGCTGCAGGATGGAGCCATCGGAGCATCCCAGGCAGCTCCCGAGCTCTCACCCAGCTTCTCAGAGCACTGAGGCCTCTGATGGCCTCCTCTTGTATCAGCAGATTTCACGTTGCAGCGGGCACCGAAGCACTTGTGCCTGCCAACACAGCCATTGTGGCTGCACACCCACGGGAGATGGCATTCCCCGAGCCGAGTGCCCACATCACCCCGTCGATGTCCGTCCCAGCCTCACTCCCTTGACGACTCCCAGCGTTGTGCATCGCAAACCCACACAGCACCCGGCATCCCTCGTTAGATGCATCGAGCAAAACCTTTGCGAGCGAGAAGCAGACGTGTGAGCATGGGAGGGAAGCGCGGGCACGAGGGCAGGGAAGGAATGGGAGGTCCTTCCAGTGGGATTGGCCCTCTGAACATCTGGA